TTATTTAAATATATCATACGAAAAGCGTAGGTAGCGCATTGTCAAAAAAATAAAACATTCTTTCGATTTTAACTTGTTTTTAAAAGATTACACATATTTCACAGTTCCCAACGTGTAACTTGTATTGAAATTTATCCTATATATAGTTCGAAAACGATTCATTATTAATTTTTATATCGAAACATTGCGAGAAACTTAATGCGACTGCTCTTAAATTTACGGAGTTGTCATATATATATATATATATATATATATATATATATATCAGGCCTAGATACAATTGCCGCATTTGCCAATTTTAATATGCAAAAAACGCGATCAAAAAGTAAGAGGAAAACTTTTGGAGAAGATGTGGTGTTTTTTTTATATATATAAAAGGTGAATTTAATAACTCCTACACCAGGTAAACATGACGGGAGCAAATTCATAGTAAGTAACTTTTTGCTTATGCCTTGCTTACTTTTCAAAAGGAAGCATCGTATCATACAAAGTATATATTCTATGAGAGATGATGTTCCTCCATTGCTACTACTGCTATTCTCCGCTCTTCTATTACGCGACAGAGAAGAAACCCGCTATGCTATGCACGTCGATTTTTCGATTATTATCAGGCATCCAGCAAAAGGTAGCAACAATTTGTCTTTCGTATTTCCCTAATATTTTGTCTTTGTATTGTGTGTGATCTCTTTTTGCCCCTGCTTTCAAAATGCGTAAATGTGTAACTCTGCAAAAGTGTTCTCTATCGACAATGATATTTGTTTGTGGAACTTTAGAGAAGGTGAGAGCGAGAGAGAGCAAGTATTAAGTGGGCTTTGATATATAAAAAGGAAGGCAGAGAAATACACTCACTCACTGTATTGTGTGCATAAACAAATGCGAGTAAACGTATAGAAAGTTACGTTCATTTCCTGGCGTCATAACAACTGCATTGGATGTACGATTTGTTTGTGTATTGCTTGAATGTTGCTTGTTAATGTTTTATAATTGTGGGTGCATGTTGGACAATATAGAATTGTAAAGATTTTATAGCAGCAATATGTGCTTAAAATTGTAGGCGTGTCAATAACGTTTTCGCTAAAAAAAAAAAAAAAAAAAATGCTTCAAAGCCGGGGTTTCTTCTATATGACTTGGACTATTGACACTAATTTTGTTTTTCTGCAATATTTGCTTTAAGACCTTTGACATGCAAAAAATTTGCAAAGACTCTGCTCTATAGCTGCACATAAACATTGTAATATCATTTTACGTAAACAATCATCATCACAAGCGAATCAAAAAAAAAAAAAAAAACTACAATTTTTAAGATTAAAACGATAAAGATAGCATAAGATAAAGGATAATACTGGCATGTACCAATGCAAAAGATGTGGTGGGAAGACGCTTCTTTCTTCTACTTGGTGTGAGCAGAATTCTAAAATGTTAAAATTTACTGCGCGTCTAGGTCACGAGAGCGCCAGTAATGTTATGGGCCATGGTAACCATACTAATCATCATCTCTCTGATCATTACTAATGCACTCTCTAAAATTTCTTCAATCAGTCCCAAGTCTATTGTCTCAGTACTTTTAGATTCGTCTAAAACAGTGCATAAGCATTCACATTTTGGCGAATATTTGATAAGCGCTGCATATTTGTAAACGTGTTTATGAGTGCTTAACATAGAGTTGTTGGTTTAATCTGTTAACTCGAGCTTAGAAACATTTATGTACACTTCTCTCTTCAAGTTCTGCGGTCATGAGCGTGCCAAGAATAGGCAATCAAAAGTCCGGCGAATGTCCAACTGTCAGGCTAATCAATCTCTGTTTTATTAGTTTATCTCTTTGTTCTGCGAGAAAGTTCGCATGATGTTTTGATCCTGATAAGTACCTGTAAGCAATTTCTTATATTCAACGGATGGTTAATTATGGTTTATTGTGTACGACTTACAAATCTTGTCTGTGGCAAACATTAGAGCGCATCATACATATAGAGTTTGAATTGTTTCGACATTTGTAACTGTGTGGGCCCTTCTTGCTTGGAAGAAAAAAAAGAGAAATAGAAAATCGAAAAAAAAAAAATTGGTCTTAGTCAAGAATATATATATTTCTTTGTATAAAATCGGTATCATATTCTATATAAATGGAAAGATAAGTTTGCTGCATTCCCGTCATACGCTATTAGCTACAATAGCCTAGAATCTCTTAATGTCTGTTCTTTAATATTGTTTACATAGTCCTAATCTTTACCTTACACTCTGTTAAGTACGCTAAACCTTTACGCCAAATATATTGTTCACGTTGAACACTCTAATGTACTACGACATTCGAGATAAAACAATAACAGTAGCTTAGGTATGATTAGAAGAGTGCGTAACCTAGGCTTATATGATATGCTAGGCTTACAGTACCATTGCCAATTATCGCTGAAGTATATTTTTCTAAGTTTCGAAATGTATCTATCAAAAATAAGAACAAGCATTTGCCAAAAATTAAAAAACTCAATTTAAGCCGATATAATAAAACAAAAGAAAAAAATCTTATTTAAGTGATAAGGCTATGCAGGCATATATTTATTAGCTATGGAAAATTAAATTCGCGCATTTAATCTGAGGTGAAAAATGAGCATAAAGTTGTATTTTAGGGTGAATTTTGGAAACCTGCCGTATTATTGCTAGACTGTACGTGTGATAAACTTACTTAAGAGTTAACATCAGCTTGCAATTTTAAATGCCCATAAAAGGTAATTCAAATTGAATTTCGGATTAATATATCCGTTAAGTTTTAAACGATAAGTGGAAATAATTTTTGTGTAAAAATAATCAGGTACTAATTCACCCATGAAGGTTTTTGATGCCTTGATTCATTTCTTCTCACATTTCTTCCTGGGCCACTTATGGTATGACCTTTTGTTCCTTCATCGAATTTTCTTTTAGGTTTTCGCTTTATGATTATAATTTTAATATAATTTTTACGTTGTCACATTTAAGAAAAACTCAACCCAGCCCAGCAATTAAGGTAAGAAATGTGATGGTTCGTTTTCAATAACTGAGGTTTTGTCAAAAATTCTCTCAAGAAATTTTTTTTGGGAAATCATCTGTGCGACGACATACTTTATGTCCATTCCATTAGTCAGGATGGTATGAGCTAACTTGAAATATTTGACCACTCCATAAACCCGCTCTTTACGATGCATAAACATGACTTTCGACCACCGATATTCTCGATTTTCTTCTGCGTGGCCCTTGAAGAGCTAGCAAGCTGGCGACATAAATTCACTGTTCCTTCTCGGGCTGGAAGGTTTCACATATATGTTTTATGGTTCTGCTTTCGAAACAATTGGTCGCAGATCCGCTTGTAATGTTTTCAAAAGTGACTCGATTTGACAAATTTTATTCGAAACTTTAGTTCAACAAATTTAAGAAATATAAAAAAAACTGGGAAGCAGGCAAACCTATGATTAAAAAAAAAAAAAAAACAGAAAGGAATTTTAAATATATCAAGTTACGAAAAAGTTTGGCAAAAGGCTACAAGGGAGTTTTGAATAATAATTTCAGAATATTCCTAATAATTCTCAGGGCTCCCTTGAGTTGCTCTAGCTGAGATGTTACCATGATGCGAGTTTAGTAATAAAAAATTTTAGACCAAATTTAGCGATCACAACCAAGTTCTAAAATTTTAGGCATAAATCAATTTAGCTCAATTTTGCAGTTAAGGTGAAGACAGCCTTCGACCAACGACACACAGGCGTAGCTAACTTGATTTCTCTGTTTATGCTGAACTATGAATATATAGTTATTTGAAGGAGCTATCGTGAATTTCCGAGCCTGATCTGTGGAGATATATGATGAGAGATGCATCACAAAAAAACTTTAGCTGTTTATCAAAAGTTTCGTGAACACCAGGACAGGATTCTAACAACAAATGGATGCTTAAATTTCTAAAACAATGTGTACGTAGTAACGTATCCATACCGCATGACTTACGGTTACAAGAAGCTCCAATAATAGCGCCAACCTCAATAACAATGTTTGCATGTTTCGCTACATGTTATCTGTGCATAGCTGATAAACTTTAACATTTTCTATAAAAAGAAAAGAAAAAAAAAAAAAAATTATTCTATATATGCAAAAATGAGAAAAAACATAGAACAAAAGCATAATATTTAATAAAATATAAAACAGCCGCAGAGACCAAACAACACAAACGTAGAGGGGCAGAGGAATTTTTTTTTTTATTTTTTTTTATTTTATGAATTTGTCTAATCCTCCAAGTCCAGTGATTCAGAAAACTTGTGATGATTTTTAATAGAAACAGTCTAAAGAGTGTGACAAAGAGACAGAGAGAAAGAGAGAGAAAGAGAAAGAGAGAGAGAGAGAGAGAGAGAGAGAACAAGAGAGAGGTAATATCACAAATGGATAAGCGATCGTTTATTGAAAAGTCAAAGATGACAAACTTTCTACAATCTTTCTATGGTTTCTGTTTCCGATTTTGTTTTATTACAGAGGTCTGTAAACTCGAAAGTTTACATAGCATATGTTTGAGAAACTTTTACGTATCTGCTTGAGAGATGAGTGAGTACGGCAAGAAGCTTAACGCCGCTTATTTACTACTAACGAATGCTTGTTAATAACATTCTGAAACTTTTAACAACAATTAAGTTAATTTTCTTCTGGTGTTATTTTTTTATATTCTCTCCGTGTGCGTGTGCGTGTCCGTGTGTGTCCCTCTCTCTCTCTCTCTCTCTCTCTCTCTCTCTTTTTGCATATGTAAATATGCATACGTTTACGCGGACGTACATCCATGCATAAAGTCGTAACTATACATTTTGTGTTTAGTGCACAAAGTTGTTCACTTGATTTTATGTTTATCTATGGCGCTGTGTAGCACACCAACATCTCAGTCTGGTCAAAATCGTGTGCACTTACACTTGACGACTGATTAGGTTGGATTCTAATATAAATGGTTATTGTTGTTGTTGTTGTTGTTGTTTTTTTTTTTTTTTTTCTTTAATTTCACATTTTCGGTATTCTTTTACCCAGAGAACATATTGCTTGCTTCATTGTTCTCAGCTATGCTACAGGCTTCGTGTACTTCGTCTGCATGTAAATGTGAATTTTTATGTGAAATTATCTCCTCCTCGGTTTTGCACACATAACGAAAAAAGCGTATGTGTTCTATTCGAATAGACTCCTCAGCAACAATTCATTCAGTAGCGCGCCGTCGTACGTTGCGGTCGCACGCATTCGTAATCAAAATATTATTGCTGTGTAAGAGTGGGTGAACACCATTAAAATAAATAAATAATAAAAATAAAAAAAAAAAAAAAAAGGAAAAATAATATCCTTTTTTTTTTTGATTTTTTTCAAGATATTTAAGGATCTTGTTTTAAGAGGATTTACTACCACGTTCGGTTTGACCGAAATCAACTAACCAAACGATTGAAGTGAATCAAGTGAACGAAGAAAACGAGATGAATTGAAATTTCGCATAATAGTTATAAAACCAGATAAGAATGATGATTTTTATATTTTTTTTTTCTTTTTTTCTTTGCTTGTAATATGTGCAATTATTAAACATAGTGATGGGATATTAAAGGAAGAGAAGCCAATGATGATTTAATAATAAAAACAAAATAAATAAAAAAACAGATCTTTACTAAATATAGTCCAGGCTTCAGAACAATATATATATAAATATATATATATATATATATAAATATATATTTTAAATTTGATAAAAAAAGAAAATAACACTAAAAATTCATATATATAAAATAAAAATATATAAAAATAATATAAAAACTAATTTTATAATAAAAAGAAAAAAAAAATATAGAATGTAAAAACATAAAATCAATTAGGAAGAATAAATGAAAGGAAATTTTTATAGGAAACTAAAGTCTAAAGCAAAAACAACAGAGAAAAAGGCTTAAAAAGAGATTATATTCAGCCTAAACGCAGGTTTTTTAATATTCTTTAACTACGTATACATTCTCGAAAGCGAAAACCAAAAACCTATAATCCCTTGCAAAAGAAATCCTAGATGCCCAATATCCTAAATTGCTTAGCAATTGCAGGCGGGCTCGTACCCTGATTGGCATAAACTTCTTATTGCATCCTTGCAAGTTTCAATTCGATGGTCGTTTATTTTTTACTTAACTAACACTGCTTAGTAGGCCGATATAAATCATATTTTAATTTTTAGCCTCAAGTTTTACAGGATTAAGATTTCTGACATTAGATGCACGTACCGAGCGACGGACATGGACACATTACCTTGGAATTTTACACTAATCAATAGGTTCTATGCATTATCTAATGGGATTTCCGTAAATTATATAAGAAATTATAAGAAAAATTAGTTCCGTTTTTTTTTTTGTTTGCTGTTTTTGAAGAACCACGCCTCTTTACAAAGTTGATGTGTGTGTGTGTGTGTGTGTGTATGATGTGTGTAAAACTGGCTTAAGTATGTCTTTTATGCTATTCATTGTAAATTTTGCAACTTGTCGAATATCGATAACCGGCAGAGCGTTGGACGGACTAGGATCTTAGTTTGATCCATACATATTTATACATAGATATTTTTTGGTATCTATGTTAGGTATTTTCGGGATATACAGCGTTAGATATAATAAATGCAATCGTATAACAATTCTTCCCTATCCACATTCTTATGGGTCGTCCTGCAAAAGGATCGCTGTTTTAGGATGTTTTTAATCTTCTTGAATATGTCATATGTGGCGATTGAGACCATTTTTGCACTTTAGATTTTTTTTCATTTATTTGCAAAATAGTTGTGAGAAAAACTAATGCTATAAGTGAAGAAAGTTTACTTGAAACAACATAAATTTTTTTGTTTTGTTTTTCAGTTCTTCGGTTATTAGTAGCGGATTACAGGCCTTTTACAACTTGATCTATGTGTAGTAAATAAAATATAGGCCAAATTTTGGCTGTTTGTATTAGTTAGACTTTGGGAGTGTCGTTAGGAGAGCGAGAATCAAACGAATATACAAACTAAAGGACATGGTTTGATCGATTTGCAGCATTAATCTGAACTGCTCGAGTTACCGGATATCGACAAATCGATTTTTACTGATAGTAGTCGCGTTAAGGAATATTCTTGTAACTATTCCTAATGTCTTGTTTTCAACTATAATGTTTAACTGATGCTAGATACATATATCTAATCTTATGACTTTGTTTCACCTACAACAACAAAATAGGGGACGCACGGACATGGTTAAATCGAACAGGAAGCTTACTCTGACTAACATTACTAAATCGATTTAAAGTGTATGATTTGTGTCCGTCCTATTTATATATGGATTGATGATAAATATATTATATATATATATAACGGTATATTCAATTGCTCGAATGTATAAACCATCATTTTTGTTCTAACCGAAAAGTTCTAAAGAAAATATCGATTCAAGTCCCGTCAACTTTTAGTTTCATGTTGTATCCTCCCGCTCTCGATTGAGGAGTCTCCGGTCTCAGTTTAGAATGCTAACGTTTCGAGCGGTACTATCAATTGTGAACGATGAATGATTAAGATAATAATGTGATTTCATAAATTTTATTGTGCTATATATATAATGAGTAGTAGTGGGAAGTTCATACTTGCGATGAAAGTAAAACTTTCGCTTGCCGCCGACTGAGATATGAGATGAGAGTTAAACGAATTTTCTTAATCTGCCCAAACAATTTCCGCATAGGCGCATAACTTCAGTTTGGAAATCATTATTGAAAGTCTTTGCCTCTTTCTTTTTTCCGGGCTCAAGCGTTTTCAAATTTTTCCGAAATGAAATCATTAGATAGACAAGCTGAAGGACAGGCAACGAATATGATTAAATCTTTGCGCATATTAATATCATGGAAAATTTATATAATATTAACCTTAAAGGGCTGTAGCGAATGTTTCCCGATGTTTGAGGGCAAATGATGAAGGAAGTATATCGTCATATTTTGTTAGTCTGGGTAAAAATTGTGAAATCGTAATCTCCAGTCAGTTCTTCATGTATCCTGGCTTTGAAAGAAAGAAAGAAAGAAAGAAAGAAAAAAAGAAAGAAAGAGAGAGCGAGAGAGAGAGAGAGAGAGAGAGAGTGAGGTGAAAGGCATGGTAAAAGGGGGAGATGGGAAGGCGGAGAAAGCGATAGAAGAAAGAGGAAGATAGCAGCACTTAAAGTCGTACTTCCCAATTCTGAACGCAGCATAAACATGAATGATTACAACTAATGCTGCTTTAAGTCCATCTGGTCATATCCTTTGGCCCACTTGTCAGTTCAGCATTCGTAAAGTCAGTATATTGAAGTACAATAACTTATCTTAATATATTAAAATTTTGCAAAAACATGCCGGCGATTATATATTCATAAGGAGGTATACCACAGAACTAACTATATATATATATATGATTATTTGCATCAAATTAGGTTTGAGCCACCAAAGTTAGTCAGCAAACAGTTCCTAAATTGTAAATATTTCTAACCGATTAAAGGTGCGTCCTTCCGTCTGTTGTAACTTGCAATTTAACAAAGGCATTAGTTGTTAGCTAATTTATCGATTAAATGTCACAAGGGACTTGATCGACTTAAAGAGGAAAAGAAACTCTAAGATTTTTCAAAGGATGCTTGTCAACAATTTACATATAAAGCAGATTTTGATGAAATGTTTGCTGTGAGCATATTTTGCGGTATTAGCAAAAATTCACTTGAAATGAAAATCCGGTCTGCTTAGATGAGATAGCGTTTATGAAAAATGTTCTATAAATTTTATGGAAGCTCCTGTTACTGTTACTGTTTCCGCATCTTAAAATGACCTTTGCAAACATTTATTGCTAGTGGGTTATAGTACAGTTTACAAGGTTGGTATTTTTTCTCTTAGGATCAAAAAATTTTCTTTTTTTTTTTACAAATTTACAATTTTTGAATCGAGCGCATAATTTTAGCAGTTCATAGCAACTTTCATACAAGTATTCTAGATGGTGGATGAAAACAATAAAAAGACAATTAAAGCTCATATGGTTCGTGAAGCATACAGAAGTAGGCGACGGTCGGCCACCCTATTCATTTATTCACTTATCAGTGATCCCGGACTTTAGAATTTGTAAATTACACAGAACTTACACAATATTACACAGTGTCTAGTACAAAATGTTTACAAGTTGCTTATTGGCTAAGTGTGGCAAGGAAAAATAAATTGTTTTTGCTTTCGTAACGTTTCAAAAACATCTAATAAAGCATTTATTTCGTTAGTAATGATAGATTCTAAGCCATTTTACCGATATCCGTTTATCCGTCCGTCTATTCATGATTTCGTGAATAAGGCAAAATTTGAGATACAAAGAAATTTGATATGTGGAACACATAAATTCACACACTTGCGCAATTCAATTTTAACGATCTAATTAATAAATGGGAGTGGCCAAACGAATTGAAATATTTTTGAATTTTTGCGGCTAAAAGATTTTTTTATATATTCCTGTGTCGAACAAATCTGCAAATCACGTACGTTTTTACGTAAGGCCGTGTTCGTGCAACTTTATATGTTCACTCATTCTTTGTAGAACGTTTGAAACGTTAAGACTTTTTTTTTTATCGCAAATACCGTTATCTGTGTAACCAAGGACATAAATATATATATATATATATATATATATATATATATATATAAGATTTGTGTTTTTCTTATTGAAAGGTTTTGTAGCAAATAATTTATTATCAAATATTTTTCTTTTATCTAATAACGATAGTAAATGTGATTTTAAAATGTTAAATGTCCCCATAAGTGATCAAGAGTGTCAAACGGTTCATTTTTTTAGCTTATATTAATCAGCTAACAGATCAGAAACGCAAATAATTCGCATGTTTGATGATAGGCTCACTAACTTACAACACAACTTATCGCAAACATTTTTGTGAAATTTAGGGAACATATTACTTGCGATGTATGTATTTATAAATAAATAAATTTTTGCCTCTCTTTTTGCTTTTCTCCTTAATACAAAAAACGCTTATTTCACGAAAATATTTTATACAAAGTATTACCTATCGATAGTTTCACATTTTTACCAGGATATTGACGGATACCATTCGTGTATCTGTTTGTCGACTTCATCATAATTGCCGAAGCGTTGTCAGCACAGCCTTGATTTAAAAAAGTAATGCCAATCGATTAAAAAAAAAAAATAGTAGAAAAGAAATATATTTGCCTTACGTTGCGTCTTTTATCATATATTAAAAATACAATTAAATTTCGTACACTCTATGGATCACGATCATGATTACACCGCGAACGACATTTACTAGAATTTAAACATCAAAAGTATAAAGAGAATTTCTATCGAAATCAGAGAATTTCTGTCAAACAGGACGCGATCGATTATTGCATGAACTTATGGTTAACAAAAAAAAATGCTATACAAGAGCAATGCTTCTCCTCATCATAAACTTGCTTTGCCTTGCTATGGTTTTCTCCTTCAGGGAACTGAAGCTATCGTAATGTAACCTTCATATTCAAGTTAATGGTTTACGTACACCTGCATAGATGATCGTCTTTGAGATGAGGAGTGAGTTAATGTAAATAGTTAGGGAGCATAAATTAAAGGATGTCAAAGTTCATTTATTATATCGTAAATGAAAACTGTGAATAAATGTTTATGAAAAAATACATTTTCTGGAAAAAAAAAAACAACTTTTTGTTTTTTAAAATTGAAACGACCGACTCGTGCAACAGTGGAAGACAGATTACATTTCAAATATTTTGTGCTAACTCAACGAAATTAAATTAGAGAAAAAGAAAAAGAAGAAAATATAAAAATATTTTTTTTTCTTATTTACTTGTAGAGCGAAGCTGCCAAAAATAAAATAACCAAAAAGAAACCAAAACCAGTGATAATAACTACAGTAGTTAAAACGCTTAGCGTGACTTTTTTTTATTGTTGTTATTTTAACTTTAGTTTTCAATTAATTTTTAATTAATTAAAAAGCAAAAAAAAAATAAAAAAACACAAAAATTTTTATTCTAAAAAAATTGCAAATAAAATAGAAAAAGAAAAATCAATAAACTATGGGGTCATCTCGTACACCCATAGGGTTAACGAGAAACAAATTCTCCCGGAACATGCTTTTGTTATCGAACTTATTGATAATCGTTGTTATCATACAAACATGCGGCCAGTTACAAACAGTGAATGCCAAGGTAAGTAGAGCAGCCAACGTATGACAAATTATTTGTTAATTTTATGAAAAAAAATTAATCTAACAAACTATTTTAGTTAATCTATGGTTTAACCAAAAAAAAAAAAAAAAAAAAGAAAGAAAAATTTTAGCTTATCTCGATACAATTGAAAATATTTTTCTGTTGATAAAATCTCATTTCATTTATATATCCCGTTCACTACTCGGAAAGAGTGGTGCGGTAGGTAAGTGTATTATTGCCTTCATTAAAATTAAATATTCAATATCAGAAAACCAAAAATCGCGTATATTTTCTTGATCAGATTAAATTGAGTAAATCGATAAAGATGTGTTCGAACAGGCTTCTGTCAGTCTGTCGGTCTGTCTGTCTGTCTGTCTGTCTCTCTATATGTCTCTTCGCCCGATGAAATTTGCAGATGCAAATCTTCAAACTTGCCATGAGAATATAAGCTCGATGGTAAAGCCTTCTTATGCTTTTGCTCCTATCAGTTGAAAGTCAAATACTAAGTGAATTGCTTCAGAGCCTTAGCCAAAAATCAGCCAAAAGTTGAATATAAAAGCCTTACACTTTCCATTGTATTATGCGGTTATATTATTTCTTCGATTTACTTTCAAGAGAGAAATCTCTGATGAAGTTCGCTTGCATCATAATACTTCATCTAATTAATATAGTCTGCGACCATGATTCCTGTATAGTCAAGAAATTATTTTCACATAACATAAAATGTGATGAACGAAATGAGAGGGAGGGAACAAAATTCAAACTGTTTGCAGACACCACAAACATTATCCAAAGTTAAACAAAGAGTATCCAAAATGGTACAATACTTGGTATAAGGGGTCGCTGTTATGATTTGTAATTTTCTCGGTTACCTTTGGTCTTCCATCGAACAAATATTGTGTGAATTTTCGGCGACGTCGACGCTGCAGGCAGAGCAACATGGATTAAATTGGTATTTAAAGCAATATGAGTACAGTACACAGCAATCCTAGTCGTAGGTGGCAAAAAAAAAAAAAGAAGAAGTTCTTTATATGTTGCTTAGTTACCTTTACAGTTTCTTTTTCAAGTTTCTTATCATACTCTTGCATTAATTGGTTTTTGAGCATATTTATGAAGGACTGCGTACGGCTCTTCTGATCCTATTGCATTAGGTTATTTTCAAGCTTCTCTATGAAGGACTATTCGCTCTTTTGGCCGCCCTATAATCCTTTCTTAGAATCACCGCGCTTACGCATATCATATAACGGGCGCATTCAGACGGACTGGTCATCTAAAAAAAGCAAGAAAAAAGATCGGACTATGCGGATGTACAAACTTATGCCTGGAATCACCACTTCGGTAAGCGCGAGACGTACGGTTTTAGAAGTAGTTAGATTGCATCCGCCTTTGGGCACATTTATCTTTTAATGGCATTGTTTTTTGATGTCAAAAATGCTATCATATATGTCAGTCACTACACAGTCATATTTGCGGTTTTATAATACGTTAAGTTTAGACTACTATTCTTAATAGTCTAATAAATGGAATTGGATTTATTTAGTCCGATAAATCGACCTTTTGTGTAACTATCGGGTTTGTGTAACGTGGCGGCAAGTTGGTCACGGAGAATAACATCGCGATCACATCGGTTCCTTTATATAGCGTTCAACTGATTTCTTCGATATGACATGAAAATAATTGGTTCGTGTCTTCGAAATATATAGTGTTCAGAATGGATGGGTTTCTACCTGCATGTCGTAGATCTTCCATAGAAATTTTTATAGCGAATTGACAAATAGTGACAGTGTTTGATACTTTATTATCGGTCGTAAATTACTTCCAGTTCATATTCATAAAATATATGTGAAAAATTTCAAATATACATTTAAACATAATCCATGTATAGAAAACCTAAAGGTTGTTGTACTTGCTAAAGTGATAATTAAAGAAAATAAAAACAAAAGGAAAATTATTTTTCACATTTTCTGTTTTCTCATTTAAAATGATTTATTAATTTACTAATATACTTATTATTATTATTATTATTATTATTGTCTCCTTAAACTTTGCGTAAGTTATCAACACCGGGCACCGCGCTTATGTGCTTTTATTCATTTTAGATTTGTTTAATCTACTTTTCTTCTTCTTTTTTTTTTTTTTTTTTTTTTTTTTGTACATATAGTTGTAATTGAACATGTATTCTTAAATCACACCCATACATAGGCAAACGCATAAACACGCATACATACATAAATATAAACAGGCATACACGCATTTAACACTAGTATGCAGATACGACGAGTATATGTTATCATCATTGACACTATTTTCCTTCTCTTAGCTCGCTTTTTTTTATACAAACATATGTGTGTACGTTTATTATCTAATTATTATTAACTAAGAAACATATAAAAAAATTTTAAAAATGTATATATACATTACATACACTATACATTTATTTTTCATTTCATTACTCTGAACATTAGAACTGAACGTCATTCATTAAAAATAGAAAAAACAAAACGAAAATAAAGAAACAAAAAAAAAAAAAAAGGCATTAAAAGGAAAAGCAAAGAAAAAACTCGTGTTATGCAAAGTAGAAAATTTTTTATATATATATATATATAAATAAAAATTTTGTTTAATTATCAAATCGGAAGTTGGTGTTAAGCAAAGAGGTCAACTTTTCACTACATATGTACTCGTTTCCTTAATTTTTAAATTTTTAATTTTTTTTTTCTTTCAAGAAAGAGGAAAAAAAATTTTACAAGACTTAAGACGAATACTAAATGCCCCACTGCCCTAAAAAGAGATATTTTACATTGTTGCTTGCAAGCGAACGGAACCCATTTTTTTATATATTTTCGAATATTTTCGATTCTATTCATAACAATATAATGAAATCTTTGAGATTTCCCCAGCAGTGTTGTGCAAGCTTGGAAAACTTTACATTATACGAAGTGCTCTTGGTTTTTATCTCAATTTTCGCAATTTTCATCGCATCAATAAATGGAAGGTGTGCACGCATGTTTTCAAATTGATTTATAATTTCACGCTTAGCAAGAACTTAGATGGTTTTCGAAATCGACCTTGTGCCCTTATCGGGGTCAGCAAAAAATGTAATTAGATACAAGGGGAAACTAAATCCACTATTAAATTGTAAATTTCCATTTAAATACTAAACAATCGAAGGACGTAGGGATGGATCCGTCACGCTGTCATTGCGTTGAAACGACAGGATGGAAGAGCCTATATAGCGGACATATGTAGACTGTTTAATGTGTAAGGGGCAAACCACCACCAGCCCATCTTTGGGCTGCATGCATTGAGTTGTGTTGCACTACGTACTCTAGATATCAAGTTTCGATTTTGCCTCGTTCAAGAATTAGCTGAGATATACTTCCAGGCGCTGCAAACGAGAAAGAGAAATGTATTGGACCTATTGGAGGCAATTTGACCTGTTGTACAGATTTTATGTCAATTTTCTTCTTCAGTCTTGAGAGAGTAAAAGGACACGCAAAAAGACAGACGGACATAATATGATATCTCATAACATAATACATAACACAAGGAAATTTTTTGGAGTCGCTAACTACGAAACATGTTGATTATTTTATTTTGCAACTTGGTGTTGCAAACTCTGCGATATAGTCAGCATAACTCTTGTGCACTTCTTCTTCTATAACTACTCGTATAACATTATTATCAGCATCACCGTGTACAGAGAAAGGCGTAAAGAATTTTTCAAAGGCAAAATCTTATTTTCCGCATTAAGACTTAGGATCAGGTTGCCGTCGCTCCTACAGAACCATTTATTTTCGTTCGCGAAAAGTATTCAAGTGAATCGTTCACGACTGTCAACGGAGTTAAATTCGAGAAGAACGCAACACCAAAATTACTAAACGATGAATGATTTATTTTTTAATGATTGCATTCCAGTACACTTTTCTAGATCAAAACGAATTAGCGTAGAAGTGAACTTCTTCTTTAATTAGCGTCAGTTGTACGGACGCAAAATAACTACATTTTCGATCGTGATGCTGTCGACCATAAAGTTATTTCTAATATATAGGGTCATCACTGTTTTTTGTAAATGTAAATAAAACACATGTCTGATTAAGATTTGAATAAAAAGTTTTTCAACATATTATTTGGACTTTATCATTATTTGTGGAATAAAATATGCACATAGTTGCATTTATTACGAAAGCAGGCAACGCAGGGTTACGTTTCGTGTCTATGACCTGAAGATCATATTTGATCAAATCACTTCAGTAAATTAGGTTTATGACCTCTTTGGTGTTAAGAAAACACATCTGATTTTTACTGACTTTGATAACTTTTGGGCATGATGATGACATGGGCTGAAAATGACATTTTTAAACATGAAAATGACATCGCAGTTATTCTCAGTCCAGGATGATTCAAAAACATGATAACCAACTTCTTGTGGCAGAAAATCGATGCTTTTGAATTAAACGACATGTGGCTTCAATAAAATGGTGCAACGTGCCGTGCATTCTATGAAAAAAATTGCAATTTTTTGAGAGAAGAGTGCAACAATCATGTAATCTCACTACGGGGCTACGATCCTATTGTTGATGACATAGCAGTAGATTTATGTGAAAAAGTGGAAAGAATTTTACATGAAATCATTTCTAAATTGAAAATGCCGTAAGCCAATATCCAAAAAATAAGGAAACTCATATTGATATCTTGAAACTAAGAAAAAAGGCGCTTATTTGACGACTATGTAATTGGTTTGTTTCCATTACTTTGCCCGAAACGTTTTACTATAAGGTATTAAGAGAGAATTAATTTCACTTCAAAAATTTTTCGCTTAAGCAGATATAATGTAACTCCATACATCCATAGGAATATGGATGCCTGTCCTTAACTCATTTTCTGAAAAGCTTAACAGTAGTTTGAAGAAGAAGCTTCAAATTTTTTTAATTACATTTTTTGAGTAAGTCGTCCTTAGCAGCAATTCTATCCCGTAGATCTTTCATTATCTAATTGCT